CCGCCAGCCTCTGCTTCCGCAGCGCCTCCAGCTCCTCCTCCGCCATGGTGCGGCCGCCCGCCGTGCAGCAGCAGCCCCGGCTCCGGGGGATCTTCCGCGGCCCCTCGGTGCGAGCGCTCCTTTCCACTGCGCAGGCGCCCGCAGCGCCCAGGCGTCACCAATCCAGCCCGGAGCCACGCCGCCCTCGAGGCCAGGGCGCCGAGGCGAGGCCCGATGCTGCGATCGCAGATTCGGGCGTGGGGCGGGGCCGGCACCGAAGCGCTCTGCTGGCACCGTCCGCCCGCAGGTTGGCGTTGGCGCTCACCGAGCTGGCCGCAGGCTCTGCTCGGATTGGACTGTGTGGGAAAGAGAGTCATCTGAAAACAGGCCTTCGTCGGAAGCTAGGATGATGATGATGATAACAATAATAGTAATAATAATTATTATTATAGTAATAATATAACGACATTATATTATTATAATATCATATTATATAATGTATCTGTATCATTGACCTTCCATTACAGACGGGGGTCCCGGCGTGGGGGATGTCCTGAAACTGGATTGTGGTGATGGTGGCATAACTCTTAAATTTACTCGGAAACGGAGTTGTTCACTTAAAATGGGTGTCGAAAGGTGAAAACACTCATGGGCATCCGACCACTGAGAAGCCAGCTAAAGCAAACTTGGAGGCTGAGACTGGACACTGACCAGCCCTTCCTCCAAAGAGGGGCGTGGGGGCGGCGGGGAGCTGTACATCTCTGAACTTCCGCCGCCCCGCACCACGGCCTCCCCGGAGGATGCTGGGGTGGCGGCCGTGCAGGAATAAACTCCTTGCCCATCCTCCAATGACCCTTTGGAAGGGGGCATAGGGGAGCAATGAGGAGAGGAGGGGGGTGTTCAGCGTCTTCACCTGGTTAGTCCTGCCTGTTACCCACGTGCTGTTTTAATTGTAGCAAAATCGAAAAATGACTGTTTTTTTAACTGTACAATTCAGGAGTGTTGAATATGTCCACACCGTTGCGCAACAGATCTCAAGAACTCTTCATCTTGTCAAACTGAGACTCTGTACCTATTAACTAAAAACTCCCCACCCAACCCCAGCATTCTATTTTCTGTCCCCGTGATTTCTGCCGAGTGCCATCTCCTATATGTGGCGTCCTACACTATTTGTCAATTCGAGACTGGCTTATTTCACGTAGCATAGCATCTCCAGGGTTCTTCCTGTTGTACCATGTGCTAGAATTTCCTTTCTTTTTAAGTCTGAATGACATTCCACTATTAGCATAGGCCTGTGTCCGTTAATGAGGGGTACAGTCGGAGAAGTGGCTCCTTGGGTAATTTGGTCACTGAGCAAGCGTCACAGAGTGTGACCTATTAGCACCGAGGCTGTACGGTGTAGCTGTTTGGGCTGCCATGGTATATGGGGCCTGTCATTGCTGAAACACCATTAAGCTGTGCATGACTCAGGCCCACCATTTGTTTATCCACTCACCCATCAGCAGACACTGGGTTGTCTCCACCTTCTGGCTATTATGAGTGTGGCTAGACAAATCTTTCAACTATGGGGTTTTGGGACCTCCTTAATAGCCCAAGGGTTAAGTCCCAAGGCCCTGACTTAAGTCTGTGCTCCATCCTGGGCCATGGAGCCGACCCACATAGCACACCAGACCTCTCTGGTCTCCCCCACTGCACCCCTCAGCAGTGTAGATCTTCTGCTCCTAGCTCTGTCTGGTGAATCCTCTCACCCCCTGCATCTCTGGCCTGCACCCCACTTCAACGCATAAGTAAATAAATCTTTAAAAAAGCACTATGGAATAGTGACTGACGCTGCATGTGTTCTCAAACGTGAATGATGCCTTTCCTCTAATGTGTAAACAGGAGAGATTTCAGGGAAGAGGTTCTAAAAATTAAAGCCTGGTGTCTTAACTTCTATTTCGGGGTGTCGGGTTTGAGACCCTGCTGTGCAGTGGTGGATGTAATGGTTTCCCCTCACAAAATCCAGCTCTGGGCAGGGGTATGTGGGCCTAGCTGGTCTGGTGCACACCCCCATAAAGAGGCGAGGAAGCCAGAATCAAAGGAAACCAGATCAGCAAAAATGGGGATCCTCACTGGATTCTTTTATCAAAGTACATCCCCAATAAGTCAAATATTTAAAATGTTAAAAAAAATAAAAGCCCAACACTAAAGTAAATTCTTTATGTAGTTGTGACTATTTTAGCGTGGAAATGGAAGGCTCCATCAAGTCATGTTGGTGGGCCTTTTGAAAGGTATTTTTTGACAGCTTTTCATTTTCTTCTAAGGTTGATCACCCTGTTCCAGTTTTCCATTTCTTCTTGAGATGATTTTAATTTCTAGAGAACCATTCACTTCCTTGAGAATTTCCCGATGTCAGGACGTGTGGCCAGAGTTAGGGTTTGCAGATTTGACTGTTGATGTATGGATCACTGTTTCTTTTTTCTTGATTCTAAAATCAAGAAAAATCCATTATAAAATCCTCTGGTTCTTTTTCCCAAGGAACTCAAATTCCTTGGAAAAAGAATTGTATTCTTTCACAACTGATTATTTTCTGTTTGTACCTTTATTCCTTTACCTTTTTTGTTTGTTGGTTTGTTTGTTATTTTCTTTCCAGTTCCTTTAGATGAATGTTCTTTTTCTTTTTCCTTTTGAAAATATGGAATGTGGGTTCTCCCTGGTGGCACAATGGGTTAGGACGCAGCACTGCAAGCTATCTGCAGCTACTTCAGTGTGAGTTCAATCCCTAGTCTGGAGCTGACTGACCCACAGAGCACAGCAGACCTCTCCTGACCCGCCCGCTGCTCCCCTCAGCAGTATACCTCGTCAATCTGCCTGTTCTGCCCCTCACTGTCTTTGGTGAATTCTCTCACTGCCCCTGTATCTCTGGTCTGTACCCCAGTTCTGTATACATCTTTAGAAAAGATGTATGTTACCTATAAAAAAGAAAATATGGAACGCTTCACAAATTTGCTGTCATCCTTGGCTACACTGATCTCTGTATGGTGCCAACGTTAGTATTTGAGCTGCCAAAGTAAGCCCTGTGCGTTTTCCTTCTTTTTGGTTTAATAATGAAAGCACTTAAGGAATGTGTTTACTTGTGAGCACAGTGTAGGATGTATCCCTTATATTTTTTTCTTTTTCAAACTGTCCTAAAACTTGTTTCTCTTGTTTTAATTACAATTTACTTAACTCTTGATCAAAATAATGTATTTACAAAATTTTAAGTGGCACATGAGGCAGCGATTCCTTACCTACTCTTTCCCAGCCTACTCTCAGTTCTGCAAAAAAAAAACTTCCTCAATATGCCCAAAGGACACAAAACACTAATTTGAAGAGAAATCTGCACTCCTATGGTTATTGCAGTACTATTTACAATAGCCAAGATATGGCAACAATCTACATACCCCAAAACAGATGACTGGATCAAGAAGATGTGGTATATACACGCAATGGAATACTACTCAGCCATCAAAAAGACAAACTCATGCCATTTGCAGTGACATGGAAGGAGCTGGAAGGGATAGCGCCCAGTGGCGTTAAGTCAGAAAGTAAAAGAAAATTATCAGATGGTCTCACTTCTAGGGGAAGTATAGGGGAACTGAACAAAGAATCAGGAGAAATAAAAATTTGCTGGCAGACCATAAATCTGAGACCAACAGCAGAGGAGCAGAAGGGAGAGGAGTCAAAGCAAGCGGGAAGAGCACAAAGGACTATGATGATGGATCTCGGGTGGTGTGATGGTGGGAGAACTATGGGAGAAGCCAAGTACTGGACCAAAATGAACAATGATATAAGAAAATTTTAAAAATAAATTAAGAAAATAAATTTTCCCTCTAGCTTGGCACTACAGCTGCTCCTTTTAGTATTACCTTCATTTATTTTTTTTTTGAAGATTTATTTATTTATGCATACAGAGCTGGGGTACAGGCCAAAGGTGCAGAGGTGGGAAGAGGATTCACCAGAGACAGAGTGGGGAGCAGAACAGGCAGATCGTCGAAGTACACTGCTGAGGGGAGCAGCGGGCGGGTCAGGAGAGGTCTGCCGCGCCTTGTGGGTCACTTCCGGGGCAGGCGGGGATCGAACTCATGCTGTAGTGGATTTAGCTTCTTGGTGCTGTGCTTTAACCTGCTGCGCCACCAGGGAGCCACTCCCTCATTTATTTTCTTAACCGCTATCTATTGAGGACCTGCCCCCTATATACCGAGCTGCTCTCCCAGGCACCAGCGTATATAGATGGGAATAAAACAGGCCAAGCTCACTGCCCGCCACCCACTCTCCCATAGTCCTGGGGGGGGGGGCAGCATGAACATGTAAATGAGTCAAGGACAGTATATTAGACAGTGATCACTAAAGTGCTATGGAGAAAAAAAAAAGCAGCTAGGGAGGGGTGTGCTGGGGAAGTCTTCATGGAGATGGTGACTTTTGAGTAAAAGCCTGCAGGGGACGGGGCGATGGGTCATGAAGGTATCTTAGTGAAGCGTATTCTAGGCAGAGGGAACAGAAATGCGAGGCCCTGGAGTAGGGCCATGCCTGCTTTGTCTGTAGCACCACAGAGAGCCACTGAGGCGAGACTAAACTGAGTGAAAGGGGGGAGGAAAGATGGAGTCCAGAAGGGAGTGAAGAGGCTAGGTGTTTATATACCTATGCTGTTATTAGTTTATGCAGTGTAGACATTTTCTAATCACCTCATCCATAAGGGATGAGGATTTGACGCACTTCTCAGCCCCATTTTCCTTCCTTTGTAGTTTCCTGTCCTGACATACCTTTTTTTTTTTTTTAATTTATTTATTTGTGCATACAGAACTGGGGTAAAGGCCAGAGGCTCAGGGGTGCCGAGAGGCTTTACCAGAGACAGAGCGGGGAGCGGAACAGGCAGATCCACAAAGCACACTGCTGAGGGGAGCAGCGGGCGGGTCAGGAGAGGTCTGCCGCGCCATGTGGTCACCTCCGGGGCAGGCGGGAATCGAACTCATGCGGAAGCAGCTTTAGCTTCTTAGTGCTGTGCTTTAACCTGCTGTGCCACCAGGGAGGGCCCTGAAATACATTTTA